CCCCAAAACCCCAAAACCCCATTAGAAGAAGCAAAGTGTATGGATCAGAATTATGAAATTAAGATAATATTCAGAAAATTTGACATTTGCATGCACAGTTTTTATTTTTGGGCTTCCCTTCGTCATCAGAGTCATCAGGGTTAGACCTTTTGATATCCCTTTTTTGCTTTTCTAATTCTTCTTGCTCTTTTAGCTTTTGAATTCGGGCATCCCTCTTTTTCTTTAATTCAACTTCCATTTGATATTTGGATTCTTCCAATTCGAATTCCTTTTACTTCAAGTCCTGAATTTCAAGTCGTCTTAGCTACAGTTCCTCCTCCTATTCCTACTGTCTTTCATTCATGTGCTCTACTTCTCTTTTTTAGCTGAGTTCCTTGCCTTTAAACTCATCTATTAAGTCTCTATTTTTCTGAACAACCTTCTTTTTCTCAGCAACCACTTTTTCTAAATCTTAGACTTATTGCTCCAATTCCACAATGACTTTGTCTTCATCTCTTTGCTTCTAAAAGTTTGTGTCTATTTCTCTTTGAATAACATTCTTGTATAGATCAACCAGATTCAGATCAAGAAAGTCCAAAAGAGTTGCAGTTTAAGAAGGGCCTACTGCTTAAGTCTCACAATAAGTAGTCAAAATATTTTGAAGATCAAATTCCATTTGCTGAATGTTCTGCAAAGAGTAACCTTTACTGGATTAGGCTTCCTTACTCATTGGCTCAAATAGCTGCTTAAGCAGGCTTTGAGTTTTCTTCTATGATTATTTCTCATTGTGTTCTAAGCACTATCTTAGTGCAGACTAGAACATGGAGTTCTCAAAATTCCTTCTTTTCTCATCAATCTTGCTACTGATTGTAGCACTTAATGCAAATTATTTACAAAGCCCTATTCTGTGAATTGCTTCATTTTTAAGGTCCTAATTCAAGGTATAATATAAAGAGTGGATTACCAATAGATAGGTAGTCAACTCCTCAACATCTCTTGGAAATCCTTTTATATTTTAGACATGCTTTTTGAAGTCCTTGCTAGCTGACTCATATAATTGCTCTATCTTCATCATAAAGACTAGATTTAATCTATATTTAGTTCAATCAATTGATATGGCATAATAACTTACTCTTCTCCTAATGAAATACAATCTTTGGAGTTCAAGCTATTCTTAATGAAGCTAAGTACTACATCTGGTGTGGTTTTTACCTTTCTTCCCAGGAATTCTTTGGGAAAGTTTTAGGTGGAAAGCTATGATTTGATATCCCCGTTGTCTTTATTCCCCTCAATAAAGAGTTCTCTGTTCTTAAACATAACCAAAAATTATGATTTTAATTCGTCATTTTCTTATATTGATAGTAGTGTTTTGTCCAATATATCATGCAACTTCTAATCTTAAGATTGCTTTAATAGCTTCTTGCTTGTAGAGTAAAACATTATCTTTGGCATGAATTCAGAGATTACATCGTTTGTATTTTATTGGTCATAAGCTTTCAATGAATCAAAATCATATTTTTCATTTATTTGCAATAGCATTGGTATAACAGCTTCAATACCTCTGGATAATTCAGCATCATCTCTAAGTTAGGTTTTAAATTAATAAAATATGAATTACATATGGATGACGAATTTTGTAGAAATAACAAGCAATGGACTAAGTATATGTCTTGCTTATGATTTAGACAACTTAGTGGATAGTAGCTCAATCAATAAGGTGTCTTGCTCTTTGCTGTCATTTGGAAATATCTTAGCTATTGCAATCCCTTCAGACCATTCAAAGAACTTCTTTCTCACAGTAGTAGTGATATCTTGCTGCTATTACTCTCCACCTAATTATATTTCAACTAAATCTTCACTTAGCATTTTCTTTGAAGTCGGTTAAACCAAGTACAGAACGGTGGTAACTACATAATCTCGATAATCTGGCTCAAAATCCTCAATTGACTTAAGTACATCAAATTACTCTTCAGGCACTTAAAAGTGTTTATCTTTTCTGAGTATAAAGTTCACATGCCCATTGTAGCCTATAGAGCTCAGATGCTGATTCCTTTTTCTTATCAATTTAGCTCTATCTTAATTTTAATTCTAGCTCAATTGCTTCTTTAACTTCTCCTTTTCATTTTACTTAAGGTCCGGACTCTTGATATTAGAATTAGTATAGTAGCTCTTATGGCCAGTATTCATATTTGAAGGCATTTCTCTTGTTCCTGTTGCCCTAGGAGCAGACCGGTCTTTATTGTTTGCTAAACAATTTATTTGAAATTAAATTTACTCAGTCTTGACGGATCAAAATTCGCTATTGAGGGTCTCATATCAGATCTATCATCATCATCTCCGTCCTCAATGTCCAAATCATCCCCACTCTCATCGCTATTAGACATTTGCGAGGAATCTTAGCTCTCAAATTAGTGATTGTTATTTTATTTTTTCTCGTTAGTGTCTTACTTTCTACTTTTCAGAACTTCTGTTTCCTTCATTCGATGTTAACTTGCTGTCTACCTTGAATTCATTTTCGTTTTAACTAATTAAAAATTATCTTATCTAAAATCATCTGAATACAACGATATTTTTAAATCTCGGGGTTTTGGGGTTTTGGGGTTTTGGGGTTTTGGGG